TGGGAGGCTGAGGCGGGTGGATTTCTTGAGCTTAGGATTTCAAGACCAGCCTGAGCAACATGGTGAAACCCGGTCTCTACAAAAAATACAAAAAATTAGCCGGGCGTGGTGGTGCGTGCTTGCATTCCCAGTTATGTGGGAGGCTGACGTGGGAAGATCGCTTGAGCCCAGAAGGTCAAGGCTGCAGTGAGCTGAAATCGCACCACTGCACTCCAGCCTGGGTGACAAAGTGAGATCCTGTCTCAAAAATAAATTTAAAAAAATAAATAAATAAATAAGAAGTGGGCTGAGAGAGAGCTCTGTTCCCTTTGAGATGAGTTATTAATTCTTAGGAGCCAGCCAGTTCTTCCTTAATGCAGTGGCAGTTACCTAATGGTGTCCTCAGTTGTGGGCTTCTATAGCTCTCCACTCTTCCGGAGCCTGCGGCCCAGATGGCATGACACCGCCATGACGCAGGTAGCTGGGAGGGAGTAAGGGAAGCCTCCTGTGGGGTGTGGATGGGCACTAGGTGCCTGCAGCTCTTCCACCCTCACCACTCCTTTCCCTGTTTCCACCCAGATAATTGGGAACTGTGTCTGTCTCCTGGTCCTAAGCTCAGCACTTCCTGTCTTCTCTCGAACCCTAGGTAAGTATTGAAAGGAGGAAATAAAGGAATTGGATTTTTTTGAGTACTTACTGATGTAAAGCAGGCACTTTATATACATGCTTTCTCTAATTCCCACGACAAACCCGTGAGTAGGTATTATCCGCATTATACAGATGAGGAAAGCGAGGCTCTGTAAAGTGCCTACACTGAGCTTCAGGGTACTGTTGCTGCAAAGTACATACTTTTTACATTTGCTACTGCCTCTCTCATTTACTTCTACCTTTGGTCGGGGAGCACACTTTTTTCTAAATCTTTCTCCTGGGTGAGTAATCTAGTAAATGTTCCTATTTGAAAGATGATAAACAGAGAAGCTACCTGATTGACCCAGATTATACAGCTAGTTTGAGGCAAGGTCAAGTCAGTCTAGGACCCTTGTCTCCTGAACCCCAGACTAGTGCTTTCTCTACAGTGGGGTGTCAGATAATATACTCATTCCTTCTCCTGCCTTAAGAGCTATATCTATAATTAACTGGTTAAAAAGTTCAAGAGTGGCTGGGCGCAGTGACTCATGCCTGTAATCCCAGCACTTTGGGAGGCCGAGGCGGACGGATCACCTGAGGTTGGGATTTCGAGACCAGCCTGACCAACATGGAGAAACCCCGTCTCTACTAAAAATACAAAATTAGCCAGGCGTGGTGGTGCATGCCTGTAGTCCCAGCTACTCAGGAAGCTGAGGCAGGAGAATCACTTGAACCCAGGAGGCAAAGGTTGCAGTGAGCTGAGCTCGTGCCATGCACTCCAGCCTGGGCAACAAGAGCGAATCTTCATCTCAAAAAAAAAAAAAAAAAAGTTTGAGAATGTAACTAGTTCACCCCAAGGTAGTATGTGAGCTGCAGAGGTAACAGCCGCCCTCCTACCTCCCCCTAAATACCACATCACCCTCTGTGTTTTATATGTGATTTCATATTTAAATTGGTTCTGGGGCCAGGCCTGGTGGCTCACGTCTGTAATCCCACACTTTGGGAGGCCAAGGTGGACGGATTGGCTTGAGGCCAGGAGTTTAAGACCAGCCTAGCCAACATGGTGAAACCCCATCTTTATGAAAAATTTAAAAATTAGCCAGGTATGGTGGCACATGCCCGTAATCCCAGCTGGGGCGTGAGAATTGCTGAGCTTGGGAGGTGGCTGAGGCATGAGAATTGCTTGAGCTTGGGAGGTGGAGGTTGCAGCGAGCCAAGATGGTACCACTGCACTCCAGCCTGGGTGACAGAGCAAGAGTCTGTCTCAGAACAAAAAAAAAAAAAAAAAAAAAAGATATCAGCTGTGATCCAGGCACAGTGGTTCACGCCTGTAATCCCAGCACTTTGGGAGGCCAAGGTGGGAGGAGCACTTGAGGCCAGGAGTCCTAGACCAGCTTGAGCAACATAGTGAGACCCCATCTCTACCCAAAAAAAAAAAGTTTTTGTTTTTTTTTTTTAATTAGCACACCTATAGTCCTAGCTATGTGTGAGACGGAGGCAGGAGAATTGCTTGAGCCCAGGAGTTTGAAGCTGCAGTGAACTAAGATTGTGCAACTGTACTCCAACCTGGGCAACAGAGCAAGACCCTGTCTTAAGACAAAACCAAATTAAACGAAACAAAAAACAACTCTGTTTAATTCTTAACGTTATATTATTTCCACTCTACCATTTGTATTTATGCCAGGAGAATTTGTAAGACAGTAGGCTTGTGGGTCTTCCAGTTAGTTCCTTTAGGTTGGATGCAGGTAAGAATATTTACAGGTGGGGAGCAGAGTTTTTTGATTTATGATAGTATTATGAGGGGCCCAGTAAATGTTAGAATAGTGCCTGGCACAGACAGTGCTTTATGTGTGTTGTCTCATTTAATTCTTAGGAAACTGAGGCACAGAAAATTTAAGGAAATTGTCCCAGATCACACAGCTAGTTAGGGGTGGAGTTGGGATATGAACCAAAGCAGCCTCATCAGTCTGAGCGCTCAGCAACCACACTGTTCTGTCTACTAAAAAAACTTGGTGAACTGCTTGTTCCAGGCCCAGGAACAAGTAGTAGGCCCTGGGAGTTCCTGGGAACACCAGTAGCCAGAGGAGGCCTCACTGGAGGAGAAGATACCAGACTCTGGAAGCCTAGCAGCCTAGCTGCTGACACTTTGAACAGTCCCGAACTGCTAGTCAGCTTGCCGAGTAGAATTGGGAGAGGCCAACCTATCAGTTGCAGTGTTGAAATGTGGCCACCAGGAGGCAGCACAAAGTTGGACTGGTAGCAGAAAAGGGCCTGGAGAGCCCACCTCTCATCCTGGCCTTTGTACTTCAGGGCTCACTCGCTTTGACCTGCTGGGTGACTTTGGACGCTTCAACTGGCTGGGCAATTTCTACATTGTGTTCCTCTACAACGCAGCCTTTGCAGGCCTCACTACACTCTGTCTGGTGAAGACCTTCACTGCAGCTGTGCGGGCAGAGCTGATCCGGGCCTTCGGTGAGAGGGAGTGAGGGTGCAGGCTGTTGGGGGGTGGTAGTTATCTAGGACACTCTGGATCACGGGTCACCCCCTCACCCCAGCAGGGGAGAGGGTGTGCTTCCTGCTTTGTGGGTAACATACCTCATCCACACATTCTGTGGCTTGGCTGTCTGGTCCCTAACGGACTGGACCTTTGGCCTGCTTTTGACTGCCCATCTCCTCCTCTTCTCCAGGGTTGGACAGACTGCCACTGCCCGTCTCTGGTTTCCCCCGGGCATCTAGGAAGACCCAGCACCAGTGACCTCCAGCTGGGGGTGGGAGGGAGAAAACTGGACACTGCCATCTGCTGCCTAGGCCTGGAGGGAAGCCCAAGGCTAGCTGGACCTCAGGACCTGGAATCTGAGAGGGTGGGTGGCAGAGGGGAGCAGAGCCATCTGCACTGTTGCATAATCTGAGCCAGAGTTTGGGACCAGGACCTCCTGCTTTTCCATACTTAACTGTGGCCTCAGCATGGGGTAGAGCTGGGTGACTGGGTCTAGCCCCTGGTCCCAAATCTGTTTACACATCAATCTGCCTCACTGCTGTTCTGGGCCATGCCCATAGCCATGTTTACATGATTTGATGTGCAATAGGGTGGGGTGGGGGCAGGGAAAGGACTGGGCCAGGCCAGGCTTGGGAGATAGATTGTCTCCCTTGGTTCTGGCCCAGCAGAGCCTAAGCACTGTGCTATCCTGGAGGGGCTTTGGACCACCTGAAAGACTAAGGGGATAGGAGGAGGCTTCACCCATCAGCAATAAAGTTGATCCCAGGATTTGCTTTGTTTTTTTAAAGCGCCTGTCTCTGTGTGTATTTGAACAGCCTTGCTCCCACCAGTCCTGAGTCTGCCCAGTAAGAGAAGCAGAGGGGTCCTGCCCACCATCCTTTTCCTTCCCCTTCATCTATATTACTAGCATCCTTTGGGGACTTGGATCTGGTGTTAGGCCATGCAGTTGGGCAGTGGAAAACTCTTCCATCCTCAGCCTTGCTTAAAGCTGGCTTGTCCCCTGACTCCTTATATCCATGGCCTTAGGACATGGGCATAGGAGTAGGATAACCTCCCCCGGTACACTCACACCTTCAGCCCTATCCTCCCTGGCTTAACTATTGGATATAGAGTAAAATAAGTGGCTGGCTGACAAGGATTTTCATTTCCTACCTGGGAGAAGAACCTAGCTTTTTACTAGAGGCCATCAGTTTCTTGAAGAGCTCATGTGCCATGCTGGTGGTAAGAGCACAAAACTTAGAGTTATACAGATTGTGTATTGCACAAGTTCCAGGGACACCATTCACCTCATAGTCATTGTATGGATAGTTACTATGATAGTTTTCTTATAAAAGTCAGGCATCTTGAGGAAGGGGTGCTTTTTTCTTTTCTTTTTTCTCTTGTGAGACAAGATCTGGCTCTATCACCCAGGCTGGAGTGCAGTGGTATAGTCTCAGCTCACTGCAACCTCCGCATTCTGGGCTCAAGCCATTCTTCCAGCTCGGCCTCCAGAATAGCTAGGACAACAAACACATGCTACCATGCCTGGCTAATTTTTGTATTTTTAGTAGAGATGGGGTTTTGCCATGTTGCCTAGGCTGGTCTTGAACTCCTGAGCTCAAGCGATCCATCTGCCTTGGCCTCCCAAAATGATGAGATTACAGGGGTGAGCCATGACACCCAGCCATCTTTTTTGGGGGGGGGTCTCACTGTGTCACCCAGATTAGTGTGCAGTGGCATGATCTTAGATCACTACAACCTTGAACTCTTGGACCCAAGTGATCCTCCTTCTTCAGCCTCCCGAGTACCTAAGACTACAGGCATGTACCACCATCCCCCACTAATTAATTTTTTTTTTTTGAAATGGGGTCTCACTATGTTGACCAAGTTGGTCTTCAACTCATGGCCTCAAGCAGTCTTTGCCTCAGCCTCCCAAAGTGTTGGGATTACAGGAGTGAGCCACTGTGCCTGGCCTGGTTTTTTTCTAATGTACGCTAAGTTGCTATGAGTACTAGCCATAGAGTGGGGTGAGGGGAGAGTATGAAACACAAAGTGTAGATTCCACAAATACTTGCAGAGCACCCTTCTGTAGAGTAGGCACTTAACCTTGGAGATACATGATAAATATGTGTGTGCTTAAGATTGCTTTGTCTAGTAAGGTGCCAAATAATTCTAATACTGTTCTACCACTGCAGTTAAGTACTGGTTCTTGAGGGAACACAGGTGGGCAATGTTGGGACATCAAGGAAGGCTTCTTGAAGAAATGACTTCTGAACAAAATAAATTGGATGTGGTGCCTCTGAGATGAGATCTGAGTGGCTGAAAATGGAGCCCGGGGAGTCCAGAGAGGGAGAAAGCTGGAGAAGTGCCTAGATGGACGGTTAAGGGAAGTGATCCTCACCTCTTACAAAGACTTTTGAATGTCCATTGCCCTTCAGCAGCTTCCAACCGACAAGTTATTCATTTGAAAAGCAGCAGCTATTAGATGCCTGGCAAAGAAGAGAAGGGGGAAAAAGTTGGAAGTCCTAAACCAGACAATAAGTACCAAGCTCTGTCCCTGGTTCTGGGGAAGTTCCAAAGGAGATTGTAAAGTTAGTAGAGAAATGGGCCCCTGGTATCCTCACCTCCCAGTCCTGCTTAACGCTGAGTGTGAGGAGAGATGGAAGTTGGGGAGATCTGGGGAGGACCACAGAGAAGGGAGGCTCTGGTTGTCTGCCCAAAGGGCTTGGCTGGTCTTGGGCAGAAATTGGAACCCATACTTCCTGGATGACAGCGGAGGGCATGGCCTGCCAGGGTAGGCTTTGAGAGAGCAAAAATTCCAATTCGAGTATCAGAGGACGGTGGTGTGATTCCAAGTTTAGGCTTGGAGGTAGAAGGATGTTTAGGCAGCCAAGGACTGTAAAGCTACAAGGATTTCCTAGGCAGGTGTTTGCCTGGTTTCCAGGATGGGACACACTTCAGTCGCAAAATGGACCAGCAGTGACCGGCTAGATCCCCCGCCCGGGTGAGAGGGGGTGGGACGATCTTGGGAGAAGGGCGGAGGGCGGGACCAGGGGCCACTTAAGGCGGAGTCCGGAGTCCGGGCGTTCTGGCAGCACCAGAGTCCTGCAGCAGAGACGGGCTGGGCTGGCACTCACCCACGAGCCCCCTTCCCTGCTATGATGGTTCGTCAGTAGCAGGTCCTAGACGACCCCCCTCCCCGGGGAGCACGTGGGCAGAGCCAGGTGCACTGAGCCACAAGAGCTCTAGGGCACTCTGGGGGCAGCTCTGCCTGCTGCCCTCTCTGGTGCCTGTGGAGATGCCTAACTGACAGGAGAGTTAGTGAGGACAGGAACGCTCGCTCTTGGCCCAGGTCCGCTGTATCCATGGCTCTCCTGACCAATCTGCTGCCCCTGTGCTGCTTGGCACTTCTGGCGCTGCCAGCCCAGAGCTGCGGGCCGGGCCGGGGGCCGGTTGGCCGGCGCCGCTATGCGCGCAAGCAGCTCGTGCCGCTACTCTACAAGCAATTTGTGCCCGGCATGCCCGAGCGGACCCTGGGCGCCAGTGGGCCTGCCGAGGGGAAGGTGACAAGGGGTTCCGAGCGCTTCCGGGACCTCGTGCCCAACTACAACCCCGACATCATCTTCAAGGATGAGGAGAACAGTGGTGCGGACCGTCTGATGACCGAGGTAAGGAGGGCCTCTCCCTACCTGAGCCAGGGCACTGCCAGCTCCTCCGTTTTCCTGTGGCAGCCCAGGAGGGTGAGTCCAGCTTCACCTACAGACACTTTAGCCTTAAAGATCTTCCTTGTCACCAGCCCCGGGGGAGGGGGGGGGAATCCTTACTGGCTGGACAGAGTAGTTAGGAGGGATCCTGACTAGAAGAGTCTGGGATGGGGAGGGGAGGAGGGACTGACTAGTGAGAGTGAAGCTGGGAGAGGCAGCGAGGGCGGGGAAAGGAGGATGGCGGCAGGCGAGACGGGAAATGGCTGAGGCGTGGACCGGGGGTCAGCCACCCAGCCAGGCAGGAAGGGCTGGGGTGAGCTGGGGGCCAGGAGCTGGCTAGGCAGCAGAGAGAAGCCTGGCTCCTGACCTGATTGTAGAAAAGCTCTGTGGGCTGAAAAGAAGAGACTGAAAAGGGCTGGGACAGGGGTGGCCAAGGGTCCGGTCACCAGACGATGTACCTGAGGAGGGGCTGGGCAGAAATTGCTTTTGGCATGGGAAACATGTCCTAGCACCAGGACACATCTATTCTAGGGCTATCCTAGGGTCTAAATGACAATTTTGGGGTAAAAAGTCATCCTCAGTGAGAATAACAGATGGGCCCACCTGAGAATCAGAGGGCTCCTAAGTCTTCCAAGTTCTGCCTATCTCAGGGGCTTTCCTTGGAATTACACAATTAAGATAAATTCAACTACCATTTTTGAGCACTGAACCTGAATCAGCCTAGAGTGAGGTGGGCAATGCCTTGGAAGAGAAGGACCACCTCTGGCCAGTGATTTATCTTTTATTTTTTGTAGAGATGAGGTCTTGCGATGTTGCCTAGGCTAGTCTTGAACTCCTGAGCTCAAGGGATCCTCTCGACTCGGCCTCCCAAAGTGCTGGGATTACAGGTGTGAGCCACTTCATCCAGCCTGGCCAGTGATCTTGAATGTTAGAACTGAAAAAAAACTTGGGAGATCACATTCCTCCAACCCTCCCCACCCTGACTGCCACCCTCATTTTACATCTGAGAGTTGGACTTCCCCCAGGAGGAAAAGCAATTTAAACTCTCACAATTTAAAGTGGCATGGCTGGGACTAGAATTCAGGACTCCTGATTCTGAGCCCTATATACTTTCCATTACACCACCTAATTGTGTATGGAGTGGGGAGGTGAGGGGAGAGGGAGGGGTACGGATTTCCTCTGATTAATTGTCATAGTTTTCCAGGTTACTTTGTTAGGAAAACCTGTCCAGGGGAGAAAGGATTCCTTTTGCTTCTGCCCTGAAGCCTTCCTCCTACCCAGAGATTGGAAAAGGGGCATTTCTTCTTTCCTCCTTGGCCATGGAACATTGTGACCCTTTTCTCTGGTTGCCACCTGCAGCAGAGTGGGCAGAACAAGGGACAGGCTCAGGAGGGGCTCCGACAGGCCTGGGAGCCCCCTCAGTCTTACTTATCTCCCACACCCTGGCTGCAAAAGGCCTCCATTGAGTTGGCTCTGCACTGGGCTGCTGCCCCCGCAGGTCAGGGCCTCGGGGCCTCCTTAGGGGACGAAACGACAAAGTTGGAAGGAGCTACCACTTTTCCTGTTTTTCCCCCACCCCTCAGCTCTGCGGAGGTGGAGGCGACTAGAGAAGGAGAGGGGAAAAGTGTCCTTCTGTTAGGAGGAAACCAAGTCCGAGGTGAGAAGTCGGAGGGGAAAGAAAAAAAGGAAGCTGTCCGTCTGCGCCTCCTCCCGCGGTGTCCCTGCTATGGTGCGCGCCAAGGTCTCCCGCTCCCAGGCTGGAGCGGCCAAGATAACTGTGGTCTCACTCCCCCAGGTGCAGGCTTACAGCCGCAGCTTCTTTTCCTCTTCTCCACTCTCACCCTGCAGGGGGCTCCCCAGATCCGCGCAAGGATCCCGTTATTCTCAGGTGCTATTCTCACGCCCTTCTGGGCTGCATTTAGAGCAGAGATGGGAGAGATGGGGGCTCTCCGGACTGGCAGAGCCTTAGCTGGAACTGGGAAGACTGGCCACGCGGGGGGAGGGGACCTAGCCGGACGGAGCAGGGATGGGGGGCGCGGCTTTCTGCCCTTTCCTCTCCCTGAGCCGGGGCGGCTGAAAAGCGCCTTTGTGGCCGGAGCTGCTGAGTCCGCTTCTCCCTGCGCGTCCCCGGCCTGGGCTCAGGATTCTCGCTCGGTTAAGTCATCCCGGAGAATGGCCATTGTACTTCGCGCAACCCCCGCCACCCCAATCCTTTTTCCAGCAGCCTTGATCCCGCACAGCTCCTCTTGGGCACCTCTGTGGGGGTCACCCGGGGCACGAAGGGGTTAATGCTAGGGGCCGAAAGGAGGAGGAGGAAGGAAGGAAGGAAGCGATGCCCGGTGCCAGGGAAGGCAATGAAACAAAAGATGAATCAGGCAGAGGGAGGAGAGCCGGTGCCTGGGGCGGGGGCCAGGCTCAAACAGGGGCTCCCCGGGAGCAACCAGGCCCTCCCTGACCACGCTTCCATTCGCCCTCCCAACTCTGGCCTTCTCCCAGGTTAAGTCGCTGTCCCAGAACCAATAGGGGTGAGGGACGGGCATTAAAAATGGGGAAGGAGGTAGGTATGGGCATCCACTCTCAACCTCAGAGGTGACCCCACAGTTCTCCAACGACACCCTGGGAACGGAGTGCAGATTGGCTACTACCATCTATTCAGATTCTCATTTCTCCAGGACACTCAAAAGCTGGGAGGGGGAGGAGTGGGGCCGGAATAACAAAGAATCAACCCTCCTATCCAGGTCCCTTTTGCCCCCAGGGTGGTGGTGGGAGACTGACTCCTTTATTCCCCGCCAGCGTTGTAAGGAACGGGTGAACGCGTTGGCCATTGCGGTGATGAACATGTGGCCCGGAGTGCGCCTACGAGTGACTGAGGGCTGGGACGAGGACGGCCACCACGCTCAGGATTCACTCCACTACGAAGGCCGTGCTTTGGACATCACCACGTCTGACCGCGACCGCAACAAGTATGGGTTGCTGGCGCGCCTCGCAGTGGAAGCAGGCTTCGACTGGGTCTACTACGAGTCCCGCAACCACGTCCACGTGTCGGTCAAAGCTGGTACAGTAGGAGGAGGGTGGCAAAATCCGCCCAAAGGGGGCTCCCTCCGTTAAACTGAGTCTGCAGTAGTCCTGTTGCCACCCTAGGGGAGACCAAGTGGGCTTTAGTGTTGAAAAATACCCATCCAGGGGCCGAGGCGGTGCCTCACGCCTCTAATCCCAGCACTTTGGGAGGCCAAGGCGGGAGGATCACTTGAGGTCAGGAGTTCGAGATCAGCCTGGCCAACATGGTGAAATCCCATCTGTATAATAAATACAAAAATTAGTCGGGCGTGGTGGCGCATGCCTGTAATCCCAGCTACTGGTAAGACTGAGGCAGGAGAATCGCTTGAACCCAGGAGGTAGAAGTTGCGATGAGCCCAGATGCTGCCACTGCACTCCATCTACTGGGCGACAGAGGGAGACCCTATCTCAAAATAAATAAATAAATAAATAAGAGAAGAAAAAGGAAAAGAAAAGAAAGAAAACCACCCTTCCTTTTCTGCCCAGGTTGGGGCCAGTCAGGTTAATGGGAAATTGAGTTGTCCAGGACTGGCGATGTCTGCGCTGGCCTTGAGACTCGGTACCATCATTCTAGAACCACTGGTCTTGATTCAATCCTCCCTGTGGTTGTTCCCTGCAGATAACTCACTGGCGGTCCGGGCGGGCGGCTGCTTTCCGGGAAATGCAACTGTGCGCCTGTGGAGCGGCGAGCGGAAGGGGCTACGGGAACTGCACCGCGGAGACTGGGTTTTGGCTGCCGATGCGTCAGGCCGGGTGGTGCCCACGCCGGTGCTGCTCTTCCTGGACCGGGACTTGCAGCGCCGGGCTTCATTTGTGGCTGTGGAGACCGAGCGGCCCCCACGCAAACTGTTGCTCACACCCTGGCACCTGGTGTTTGCGGCTCGTGGGCCGGCGCCCTCGCCAGGCGACTTTGCACCGGTGTTCGCGCGCCGGCTACGCGCTGGGGATTCGGTGCTGGCGCCCGGCGGGGACGCGCTTCGGCCAACGCGCGTGGCCCGTGTGGCGCGGGAGGAAGCCGTGGGCGTGTTCGCGCCGCTCACAGCGCACGGGACGCTGCTGGTGAACGATGTCCTGGCCTCGTGCTACGCGGTTCTGGAGAGTCACCAGTGGGCGCACCGCGCTTTTGCCCCCTTGCGACTGCTGCACGCCCTAGGGGCGCTGCTCCCTGGCGGGGCCGTCCAGCCGACTGGCATGCATTGGTACTCTCGGCTCCTCTACCGCTTGGCAGAGGAGCTGCTGGGCTGAGCGTCCCAGGCATAGAAACCTCGAAGCACCCGAGCAAACGAGGGCCTGCTGGCTGAGATGTGGGGGTGTGGGCAGCAGACGATGCCGACTGGAAGGGAGGGAGAGGGAGGGGGAGGGAGATAATGGGGCTATGCCTGGCTTAGGGGCAACCTTGAACTTAGAGGAGGTGATCCCGGGTCCTAGGTAGGTGGGGCTGATGGTGCGCACTCTTTAAAGAGGACTATTTAGGCTGGGCGCGGTGGCTCACGCCTGTAATTCTAGCACTTTGGGAGGCCGAGGCGGGTAGATCACGAGGTCAGGAGATCCAGACCATCCTGGCTAACACGATGAAACCCCGTCTCTACTAAAAATACAAAAAGAAAAAGAAAAATGAAAAAAATATTAGCCAGGCGTGGTGGCGGGCACCTGTAGTCCCAGCTACTCGGGAGGCTGAGGCAGGAGAATGGCGTGAACCCGGAAGGCAGAGCTTGCAGTGAGCCGAGATCCTGCCACTGCACTACAGCCTGGGTGACAGAGCGAGACTCTGTCTCCAAAAAAAAAAAAAAAAAAAGAGGACTATTTAGCCTCTCCCCCAGTGCCTCAGCCCCACCCAATAATTTTATTTTATTTCTTATTTATAAATTGTAATATAATGATTCCCTTGCCCAGCTTGCCAAGGTGAGGGGCTGGGGCATGGCATTAACACTGTCTGACACCGCCAGCCAGTCTGACATCTGACATTTTCCTACAAGGCAGGCTAATAAAGGGAAGGCTTTCAGGAGCTTACTGGAAAACACCTCCATTCAGAGGGTGATTCACCTCCAGAGAGGGGGAGAAAGGTGGCCAACCTGAGTTAACACCTTACTTCCGGCTTCCCCTCCTTCCTCAGCAGGGTCTTTGGGACCCTTTTCCTCCCTTCAGAAGGGGCATCCCAACCCATAAGCAACAGAGCCCACAAGAGTCATACCCTTTTCCAGGCTGCTGTTTCCATCTCCCACCCAGACAGGATCAGCATTTTGCTTCTGCGGCTGAAGGGGCCAGGGTTGTCCGGGGTGGGAAAGACTGTGCACACCCCTTCTCTGTTTATAGGGGCTCCAGCAGGGGCTCAGGCCCTTATGAGTACTGATACTCAAAACATCTAGTCCCCTATTATTAACCAGTAGTCCTGGTCCCCATCCTACCCTGGTGGCAGGGCCTGGATGGGGTGGATGCTTTTTCTGATATGCCACTGGGCCAACTGATGATCCATGGGAAACCTGGCTAATAACTTGGCAATCCTCACATACTCGTGGTCTGTAAAAGGAAGGGGAGCACGGTAAGGGGATGGAATATTTCCTTAGGAAGGGCTGCTCAGAGAGAGAGAATGGGTTAGGCCTGGGTGTATGTGGGGGAAGTAGATTCCCTAAAAAAAGGCATATCAGCATTACAACCCGAGCTCCCCTCCTGATCGCTGGCCCTGATTGTTGTTTCTACTGGCTTGGTCTTCTGCGCCTCCTTTTCCCTCTCCCATTATCACCAGCTGTGCTTCCCTAGCCTGGGTGTTTTTGGAACCTTTAGGTTCCAACGCAGTAGACACCTGGAATCCAGGCAGGCGGGTGTCCCTGAGTTAGGAATGGAAGCTCAGGAGGAAGCTGGGCTGCTCCAGAAGGGAAGTGTCTTGGGTGGAGGTGAGGCAGGGAGGAAGAAATAGTCCTCCTCCCTGCCTCACCTCAATAGGGGATTGTTGGTACCATCCGGAGCTCGCCCTTGTCAGTAGCAGAAGTGCGCTCCCACTGCACAGGGTCCCTGCTATACACCGCCCTCTGGTGGCCTTCAAGATAATTCTAGGCCTATGCATGTGGTTCTCTGAAACGGAAGGAAAGAGGTCTCAGACATGGAAGGGTGTACTGGACCTGCGCAAAGGAGCCTGCTCCCAGGAGGGGAGAGATGATGGGTGGGCCTTGTTAAGCTGCCAGTGCTGAGCCATGCATATCAGGAGCTATCAAGGAGTCCACCTGCTTCTCCTTGGGAAAGTCCTTCCAAACCATGGCACTTTTATATCCCTCCTGCCTAGTTTAGCTCTGTGGTTCCTGGAAGCTGCAGATGCCCTACTAGTATACCTGTAGTAGCGCAGACTTCCTTACATATCAAAGTTGCTGCCTCATGTCCCTCACCCTCATGACCCTTGAGTTCAGTTGTCAAGGAAGTGAAAGCATAATAGTGTTCCAGGTAGTGCTTGATAAAGGCAATATTTGGAAGCAGGCCAAGTTTACCTTTGGTGTCCTTCCACCTACCGCTGCCCTCAACCCACAATGGGGGTCTGTTGCCACCTTTGTTTTTCTGTGTCTCAGAAACACATCCCAAGCTGTGGACCTTTCCTACTTTCTAAACCTACCCTTGTCTCTTTTTATCAGATCTGGTGCCTTCCTGTCATGTCACCACAGGTGATGACAAATCTGATAAACGAATTAGTTTTCCTATGTTGATGGGCTCCTTGGTTTTACTGCCCTTCCCAGGTAATCAGGTAATGCATATATATACATGTATTTTTAAACAGACAGGATCTCGCTCTGTCGCCCATGCTGGAGTGCAGTGGTGCGACCTTGGCTCCCTGCAGCTTCAACCTCCTGGGCTCAAGCAATCCTCCCATCTCAGCCTCTCAAATAGCTGGGACTACAGGTGCATGCTGCTATGCCTGGCTAACGTTTGTATTTTTTGTAGAGACAGAGTCTTGTTACGTTGACCAGGCTGGTCTTGAACTCCTAGGCTCCTGCCTTCGCCCCACAAAGTGCTGGAATTACTGGTGTGAGCCCCTGTGCCCAGCAGTAATACATATATCTTACAGTTTTAACCTTTAACCGTAAAATCATAATGGTGATGATTCCTAGCACTGTAATAAGTTAGCTAGGGAGATGTTTCAGGACAAGGAGAACTCATTGGTTTCCCTTAAACTACATTCTGTAAGTAATTTTCTAGGCTTGAGGTTTACCTCTCAACCCGCACTTCCTCCCTTCATTATCTTTATTCCTTTGAGGCCCCTCCTAGCTCTCAAAAAAAAAAAAAAAAAAATGCATGACTTGCCTTCAAGCAGCATCTCGGTGTAGCAGGTGGGCATATTCACTTGGCCATGCAATACCTCCCAATTGCAGCACATTTTACCATCAACAAAATAGGCAATGATGATTCAGCTTATAAGTCAGCTAGATCTGGGGATAATGATACCTCTGTGACAGGATGGTTGACAAGGATTGTGCTGGATGTGGAATAGGCACTCAGTAAATATTTTCTATTCTTTGGCCACTTCTCACTGACTTTGCTGCCTTCCGATTGCTTCTTTCCTCATCATTCCACTAAAAGCATCAGTCATGCAAACTTTCTGGGGTTGTGTCACAGCACTTTCAGAAGCTGGAGGTATACTAGCAGCATTTCTGTAGTAGTCCAGATTTCTTTACATATTGAAGTTGACTCTTCATGTCCCTCACCTTTGTGACCCTTGAGCTCAGTAGTCAAGGAGGTGAAAACATAATGGGGTCCCAGGTAGTGCCTGAGACTACTTTTCTGAAGAAGTATAATTAAAAGTAATATTGCTTTAAGAATTTATGAAGCATTTTGTGATCACCCTGGCAATACCTGTCTGCGTATTGAGAAATCAGAGTTGAGAACCACTGCCTAAAGGTTTCAGGTGACTTGTTTATCTGCCCAGAATCCAGTCTTTTATTCCTTCTTTCCTTCCTTCAAGCAGGATTTACTGAACATCTGCAGTGTAGCCCTGTATTCCCCACTGAAAAACACAAAAGGTTAACAAACAGCTTCTTCCCTGGGGAAGTAGACATAAACACAGAAAATATTTAACATTGTTACTTAATTTGGATGAGTTGAACCGGTGGTAAATGCCATATTAGTACAGAGAAGGCCTTGAGGAGAAAGGAGGGCCTGACTAAGATGTTGAAGCATGTGTAGGCGGAGGAGACTGGAAAGGGCATTCCAGGCAGAAGGAACATCATGAACAAGGACTCAGAATCTGAGATGAAGCTGTGCAACTTATTTAGAGCAGAAGACTGGAAGTGTAACAATATGTAGCTAATGGTTACTGAGAATTTAAGATATGCCAGGCCCTGCTCTGATATTTTACCTGCATTTTCTTTTCCCCCTCCCCTCCCCTCCCTTTCCCTTCTTTCGAGTTTCATTCTTATTGCCCAGGCTGGAGTGCAGTGGCATGATCTCGGCTCACTGCAGCCTCTGCCTCCGGGGTTCAAGTGATTTTCCTGCCTCAGCCTCCTGAGTAGCTGGGATTACAGGTGCCCGCCACCATGTCCGGCTAATTTTTTGTATTTTTAGTAGAGACAGGATTTCGCTGTGTTGGCCAGGCTGGTCTCAAACTCCTGATCTCAGGTGATCCACCCGCCTGGCCTCCCAAAGTACTGGGATTAAGGCGTGAGCCACCACACCCGGACTTTACCTGCATTTTCATTTAATCCTCACAATCACAATCTGAGATGGTGTTGCAGAAGAGGAAACTGAGACAAAGAGAGGCTTAAGTCACGTGGCTAAGTTACCACAGCCAGTAAGTGGCAAAATGAAGCGGGAGTAACAAGAAATAAGACTTGGGCCAGGTGCAGGTGGCTCATGCCTGTAATCCCAGCACTTTGGGAGGCCAAAGTGGGCGGATCACTTGAGGTCAGAAGTTCGAGACAAGCCTGGCCAACATGGCAAAACCCTGTCTCTACTAAAAGTACAAAATTAGCTAGGCATGGTGGCGGGAGCCTGTAATCCCAGCTACACGGGAGGCTGAGGCAGGAGAATTGCTTGAACCTGGGAGGCAGAGGTTGCAGCGAGCTGAGATTGCAGCGAGCTGAGATTGCATCACTCTACTGCAGCCTGGGGGACAGAGTGAGATTCCATCTAAACAAAAAATAATAAATAAAAATTAAAATTAAAAAATGAGGCTGGACAACATAGTGAGACCCTGTCTCTACAAAAAATAATTTTTAAAATTAGCCAGGTATGGTGGTGCATGCCTGTAGTCCCAGCTATTTGGGGGGCTAAGATGGGAGGATCGCATGAGCCCAGGAGTTCAAGGTTGCAGTGAGCTATGATCACACCACTGCACTACAGCCTGGGTGTCAGAGCAAGAGCTCAAAATAAATAAACAAATAAATAATTTTTTTTTAAAAAAAAGAAATAAGACCACCTTGATGAATGGGGCCGCATCTTGTTGGACCTTAGCTGTTTTTCACCTTTTCTCCTTCCCTTCACTGAGTCACTATAAAGTCCTCCCAGCTTTCTGACAGTTATTTCTCTCTCATTTTCATTGGCTCCCTAACTAAATAGCTAGATAGCTCCCTAA